CCCACTTGTGACTCACTGTGACTACTGTGACTTACTGTGACATGTGTAACATTTTTTTAAAAAAGCAAATTATTGTTCTTTATCTAGTATTATATTAAGGATGGGAATGGCATAATGAGAGTATTGTTTTGATTGTGGAACGATTTTTGATGGCCATCAGTATTTTTGATGGCCATCAGTATTTTTGATGGCTGTATCCTGCTACATTATATCTGTCCCAATTAGGACAGGAATTGATACAGGCTTTCCTCACTATATACTGGGTCTTCGGCCTGAAGAAAAAGAGTTAAACTTCTTTATATAGTAATATATTAGTCATCTCAATCAATTTGATGTATCGACACTGATTTCTGATGACATCGTAAGCAAATTTCAGCCTAATTCTGCTAGCAGCTGCTAGTCTAGGAAAAAACTAGCTATTTAGGCAACGGCCCTGTTAGCAACTGCTAAGGCAGGACGCTAAATATTACAGCTACGGGTGGAGCGGCAAAGGACAACATCAATGTCTTCAAGTAATTTGTCACTTTGTATATGCCAGTTTTTGTCCGAGTCACTTAGAATATCGTCTACTCAATTGTGTCTACTTTTTTTTTTCACCATAGATGCAATTAGAAGATGTTGTCGCTTTGTCGCACCCATCTCTCATATAAGCAGGTAAATTTGGGACAGTTTTTTTTAGATGTAAGTAAATAGAGGTACTCTATAGAAAAAATTCCTTTTTTTGGTACATTGATTAGAGGCGTATAATGGATTAAAAGGGCCCCCGTTTATTCCGGAACTCCCCCAAATCGCCACATGTGCACAGCCGCTCGCCTGCGACTTCATCACTTCCTTCAGGCCGCTGAAGGCACTTGGCGCGGCTGAGTTAGGCGGGCCGCGGGCCACAATCGCGGCAGACTGGTCCCTTACTGTCAGCTGGAGTGCGGCAAGAGCGCGCGGTCGGCTGACCGTTGAGTGCCAAGCACCGGCCCTGCCTCTAGGCCTTCACTTGGCCCAAATTGAACTCGAATACACCAGCGGATCGCCACGTGTGCACAGCCGCTAGCCTGCGACTCGATCACTTCCTTCATCCTTTCTTGGCCTTGCCTGAGGCCAAGGTCCTGCAATCCACTGTTAGATCTGCACAATTTCGAAAAAAAAAAGATGGCTGGCTGTTTTTTCATCAAGATTAACAGGACGATGGCTGGTGCAAATCCCTCACACGGTCTTCCGATCCTTGCGCCACACTGGTGGTCGTGGAAGCCATGTCGAGGTACGCGCTATGTCCCGTGCCATGTAATGGCTCAGGCGCCAAACAAACCCCATATGAAAAGCCCGAGCTTGGATGAAGAGGGAGAGAAAGACTGTCTGAGCCAACCACGGGCTCTTCCGGCGATGTCGGGTTTCGCAGCACCATTGACGGAAATGTGTGCTCCACGCGTCTCGAATTTCGAAACGGGTTGCGAAATTCGTAATTCCGCAAGCTATATGTACTTGGTGTCTAGGAATGGGGTCGTCGTCGGTCATCCTTTCTGCTACTAGTCCTCCCCCGGCCTACTCCTTCCCTTCAACTTCTTGCCGCCAGACCGGCTTTTCTTTCCTTCAATTCTCTTTGCGCTAGATCGCAACTTTCTTCTTTAACTCATCCGCCCCCCACCGTGACGTCCTTCTGCTACCGACCAAACGATGCGCTTCCAGACAAGCTTCCTCGTCTCGCTCCTCCTGACACTGCCCGTGTTTGGTAGTCTCGAGCCGCCTACCGCGGCGGACGTCGCCGAGCTAATGGTGCGCCTTCTTCTGCTATATCTTTTCGTCGCATTGACTCGGAAGCGTCTTACGTTATAGGCGCTTGAGGCTCGTGCGGCGCGCAGGGCCGCCAGACAACCCGTACGTCGCTCGCCGCTGGTCATCTGCACTGTTATTGACTGCGTCAAAAGGAACCCGCCACGGCTTTGAAGAAGCGGGTGCGTAATCCCGTTTTTGTCAGCCACGCTGCTCACTGCCTCGGTACGTAGGCGACGAATCCTCCAGCCAAGGCGCCGGCCAAGGCGCCGGTAAAAGCGCCCGCAAAAGCGCCGGTCAAAGCACCCGCCCAAGCGCCCGCCAAAGCACCGGTCAAGGCACCCGCCCAAGCGCCCGCTAAAGCCCCAGTAAAGGCTCCAGCAAACGTCCCCGCGAAGTCACCGGCTACGGCCCCTGCCGCCAAAGCTCCTGCAAAGGCACCCGCGAAAGCGCCAGGCTCAAAAGCGAAGTGCTCCAAGGCACAGGTCGCCAAGGCGTTGCAAGCACGATATGCTGAATTCGCGCTAAACCGCCACGAGGCGCGGGCGGGTGTAGTGCACCCTAGCGCAAAGGGCAGCATCACGCTCTTCCACAGCACCGAGCCAAGCAACTCCGCCTCCCTGGCGGCCGGCGTGGACCTCGCGAAGACCGCTCCAAATGGCGACTTCAACCACAAGCCCGAGGTGCCCGGCGGCTTCTATCTCACCGACAGTCTCCTTGCTGCAGCACAATTCGCGTGTTTTGGCGTTCCACTTGTTCCACGACCGCAGCCGACAAATGTTGATGTCTTTGGTATGTCGTTTCGATCCCTCTCAGCTGAAGGGACGTTGATCGTGTGAACCATCCGTTGCAGAGTACACCTGGAATGGAGCTGGTGCCGCCGTATTCGAGTTTCCGGGAGAGACGAACGACTGGGACAATGTGCGTGTGTTTGTGTTCACCGCGATGATGCCATGGCAACTCACCCACATGTCGTTGCAGTTTCAAATCTATAACTTGAACATCAATCCGAATTTCGACACTACTCCTTTCCGTGCACTAGCCGCCGAGATATACAACAAGAACGTGCTGATTTCCGGGCCGATGAATGGCCCCCACGGTGCGTCTTCTCGTCAAGTTTGCTGGACCTGTTGCTCATACGTATCTGCAGATGACGACCTGACCGATGACTTCTGGCAATACGCTATCGTTAATCAAGCGGCGTTGAATTCGCGCCTCAGGCTGGTCGCGCGTCACCAGAACATCCTCTGCAAGAACGTGCCCCAGGAGCAGGAGCTGACGTCGACGCTGTACACCAAGACCCAGGGTGGGAACCCCAGTCTCAAGAGCATCCTTACGAAGCTTCAGACACCGAACCTTGTGTCGGCGTTGGAGAATTGTGTTGTTGAGTAAGTGGTGGAGATGGGTTGTAGTACTGCCGGCCTGAGCATGTACTTGATATATAGAGTGACCTTTAAAACTTTCAATGATGTCTTTCACGCATTCGCACATATTGGCTTCAGCAACTATCATGGAAGAGGATATGGAACACGCACGTAAGGCCTCACGGACATACGCGAGCAGTCAAAAGCCCGGGACCCCGGGCGCTCGCAAAGCCGTCGTCGTGAACAGAGAGGTCGCTGAAGGTGCCACACCACGCGTAGAAGTAGAGTGTTCACGATCTGCGCTGTGACCCAGGCCCACGCCGCCGCCGAGCCCGCATCGAAAAACGGCAAGCGGGCTCGTGAATGTCCTGAGTGTCTGCTGCTAAGAGGTGCTTTCCAGCAGTATAGAGCACCGCTTCGCTGTTGGCTGCCAGAGACAATATCTGGCAGTCCATGCCCGGGCCGAGGCCCGAGTCCGATGAGTAGCGAGGAGAGAGGGCCTTTATGAGCCTTGGGAAGTGTCTTCAAGACAGCACAGCAGTGCTGCACGGCGCGTATTCGACCGCGATGCTCGGTGTCGTGGGAGAGCGCTGCCACGTCAGGTCGCCGCCCACTCTCACAATATTGTGGGGTGCGGCAAGCTTCCTTTTTGGGAAAGTGTTTGAGCTTGTTTGGCTGCAGCTTCTCGCCGATCTGCCAATGTAAAACTGACCGTTTGTGGCCAAAACACCCAATATAGGGCAAATAGTGGCAGAATCTTCCATTGATGGAGTAGCGATATAGTTTGTATTGACCAAAACAGTTAATTTTGGATCAGATTGGGATGATCACGCAAGGAGATAAGAGCTTTGTTTGATTCAAGATTCTTTCTTGAGAAAATGGTCAATAGCCTTTGTAGATATGTCTGCAATATAACACAGTTCAAAAAATTGAGGTGATCAGGAAGGATTTGAGCACAGACGGTCAGTCGCAAATTGATGTCACGCTGCTCTGCAAGAACAAGGTGACCATACTGTGACATTGCGCGCCAGACAAGTGATTCGAATGCTCCGTCCAATGCAAAGGGCATATATACCACGGCTGCTACAACCAGCATTAGACAACTTCAACGAATCAACTCCCAACCCTAAATACAAAGATCCATCCACCAACCGACGTCAGGGTCGGACGCAAAAGCGGCGGGGAAACCTCGCGAAAGCTTCGAACTGCGCTTGCTGTGTCCCGAGTGCATAATCTTCCACCGCTATCAAGTCAACATCACCAATCACCTACCAAGGCGCTGCGAGCAAAAATCTTGGCGTTGGAGATGCAGAAGAGTCAGCTGCGAAAGAGCAATGATGAACTGAATAGAAAGGTCCGCACCGAAAGGCAAGGAAGGCGTCGAGCGAACAAGAAGATTGAATTGCTACATACCACTGCTGTGTCTGGCCTTCTGGCCTGCCGGAATGACCTTGTCAATGTCCGTCTTCAGCTCGTACATGTCCAGCATGAGGTCAAAATACTGAGATCTCGGCTGTCTGGAGAGGAAGCAAAAGTTGATACACTTCAAATGCAACTCGAGAAGGAATTGGGCCAAAGGCGGGCGCTGGAAAAGTGTCAGAAACGAGCAGAAGGTGTGCTTGAGCGTGCAATTAAGCGTACACGCCAGGAGACACAACGAAAAGCATCACATTTCAGTCTATTCCATGGAGGACGATATACAAATGAGGCACGAGCGCTAACTCGCATCTTGCTGGGATCTGGAACGTCCGAGAGAAATGTAGGCGGGGTTATAAAAAAAATGGGAGGCATACTGGGTAAACGGATTGGGCGCACAATGAGCCAGCGTACAGTTGGTCGTTGTCGGCTTGAAGGTGGGCTGGGCTGTCTGCTGAGATGCAGCTGGCAAAAGAGTTGGCGGAAACACCAGGTGAGTTGATGTATAAATGTCGGTGTTGTCGGGAGATTCACAATCTACACATCAGATCTGACTGCGAGTAGCGACGGGACTGGTCATAAACATATCGAGTATGTCTCGCGAGCTGTCAGTTATAAAGTTGATGGGAATCAAAAAATGCGTACACTTGGCATTCATTCGGCAAGTGACAAGAGCGCGCAAACACAATTCAATGGATTGAAAGGACTGCTGGATGAGTTTGCGGAGGTCTGGAACTCAAGTCCCTCTGCTAAGACGTCGAAACTATTCTTCTACAAGGAGTCCTATGCAGAGAAGTTGCGTGGAACAAGTGGTGACCATGCCAAGGACGTCAAGAAGCAGCATTTCGATTTACTTCAAACATGGAAGGACTCCGTTCGCGATTCAAAGCTTGGCTGGCAGAAGATTGTTCAATTGCCGGCTGAAGAACTGACAGTGATGCTTGGCATGTTGAAGGAGAAGGTTATTGACGAGCGTGGGGGTGTCGGTGTATACATGCACATGTCGATGGATCAAGTGCGCGCAATGGACATGGAGATTCTGCAGGCACTGGTCGTAGAACTGGGTGGAAAGGAATACAACGCCTTGCCGGAAAGCGAGCAGCGAAAGCTTAGTCTCTTTGTTTGGGGCGGTTGTTGCATGCACAAGGATCTGAACACGATCAAAGGTGGAGACAAAACGATGCAGGCTTACTGGGATACAAATGGCCGTATTCCACCAGTAACTTTGGCAAATAAGGTCAATGCGGCAATTCTGGCAGAGGCGCATGATGATTCCGAGAAAGTGGGACAAGGAGGTGCCCATGGTCAAGGATTTGAACGGAACTGGTCAAGAGGGTCAAAAGCAACGCCAAGAGGCCTTGAAGGCTACAATTTTGCGAGCAAATGGTCGTGATCCTCGCCCACCACGTTGTGCTTGATCACTGTAATTCACTGTAATTCACTCTACTAATTCCTCTAGCTACATATATTGCACAGTAGTTGTATAATGTATCATAGACATATCATTTTAGCTCAGGATAGCACAAAATAGCTTGAAAACAAGGCGGATGATGTTGTGCTTCACCAAACGCGGTGGCTGTGACTCGTGTGAATGGCCATCACACTAACCGGTGTTGCCTCACCCCAAATTATATTGTGCTAGCACGTGTGAGCACATGCATTGCACTGTCTGCACAGCTACCGCAGGCACAAGTGATGGCCATAACTCAAGTCACTGCACCATTGATGAATCCAGAGTTCAAAATTTCTGGGCCGCCAGGCTGGGCGACAGACAGACAACAGCCTGAGGCTACACAACCCTGGTATGTGTCACGGTTCAAACCAGGCCACGTGTCAAGTGCCGTGCAGAAGTTCTGCATGGGTCATACCCACGGCTGATTTGACAGGTACCCATTATCTGCATCCACAGGTAATGCCACCGGCAGATGGAGATACCTGCTCCCCTACAGATGGGAGGAACTGAAGTTTAGGTATTATACTATGGCAGAGTATGGAGTGCATATGAAAGTAATAAGCATAAGGACATGCGCAGATATAAGTAACAAGGCGAAAGACATACAGAGTACAAGGTCACCAGACCGACCAAATCGGATCGGGCGGGGACCCGGCAGACCGTGACCGGTCCGCAGGCCGTGGCACATGACGGATGTAGTGCCAGTGTTTGCCCTAAGGCATAAGCCCTTAATAAGCTAAGCCCCCAGGGCCCTTAGGTGGGCTTAACTTAAGGCTTAAGATGCCTGGTTGTTGTAAATTAAGCCGTTAATAATCATATCAGCCTCCTACATACTAGATACAGTGCAGTGGAAGCAGTTCAATACTATTAAATGAAAGCATTTATATTACAGAAACAATATAATATGTGTCAAGTTAAGGTGCTAAGGGAGGGGGGCTCAAACTTTCCTATTTAGGTAAGAGGTCACACAAAATTCGGCCTGCGGCCAATTGAACCTTTCGGCCAAATGGTCACGGGTCACAGGCCCGCTGAATTGAATGAAATGGGACAGTATCTCATTGTAGAATATCCAGGCTATGTTACCAATCCTGGTCAGTGCTGCAAGGAGCATCTCTGTAGAGGGCATATTATGAATAAATTATGAAAGTTTTTTATTTATAATCATAATTGGACAGCTGTTTTATCCGTGCTGACTCCGGCATCCGATTCCGATATCAACTCCGGTATTTAGTTTTTACACAATAAAGATTTACTGAGCGTTGACAATTACCCCGACTTATGATCTATGCAATTATCTATGCCTTGTTCCTCGTATGCAACTCCTCTTCTACTTTACTTGACTTGGTTCTAATCTTGTTACTTACTTTGTTATCTCTTATTCCGTTTCCATTACTTCTCGAACTATAAATACTTTGATGTATTATCATGTACTTCAGTTTGTAAATTAACGTTGCTGGTCTCTATCTCCCAGTGTCGTCTTGACTCCACTCTTCTCTTCTTGTCTTGTCTTGGTCAACTGGAAGCCCCGGTGACCCAATCATCCTTCTGTGGTGTTCCGCCCCCAAGTGCTCTAAGACTTCGATTTCGTTTCCGACTCCGTCTTCGACTCCATCTCCGACTCCATCCCTCTGGTCGACACGGCACTTAACAGTATTTACAAACTCACTTCCTTTTGACCATGTCAAACGTACGCCTTTCTTCTGACAACATTGACCCTGCCAATGCTGGTCAACAGCATTCATTCCACTTCTACGAGCAAATCGTTCCTCTCACTTCGCCCATGGCGAACTTCACCTACAACGCTGGCGCTCCTGTCACTTCGGTTCCTGTTCATACCTACTAGCACGACCAACCCTTTCCCGCCTGGTTTTGTTATGACTCCGCAGGATCCTGATCCAAGTTCTATTCCGTTGCCAACGACTCCGCATCCCAACACGGGTCGTTTCTCTAACATCAGTTCCCCTCCTGTCTCTTCTACATTTCGTTACCGACCCCTCACACCTACACGCCTTCACGACATCGAAGAAGAAAGTGAACCTGTTCCGATATATCGGCACGCTTTCAGCAGGCCTATGAGCCCTGTTCAAGGTCGCTCCGGAAACAGAAACGATTCTGGTCAAGGTCAACAACGCCGCAACTCAACTCCGACTATCAGCGGCAAGCTGAGTCCGTTCTTGACTTCGCCTTCTGGTACCCCTCCTGTTTGTCCCAAAAATGACTGTCAATTCGCAGTGTTGACCCGGCGTGGTAACACCGTGAAGCAACGCAAATTTGCATGGTTCTCATAGAAATGAATAATCTATGGATAAAGGAATGAATAATTATAAGTTTTTCAAATTCTTCAGCTGATTTTTGACTAAGTCCAATATATTGTAGGCTTGTCAGTGGTCTATATGGTATGAATAATATGAATAATATCGATAAAGTCTATATGCTAATAAGATAGTCAGCAGAGAATGAATAATAATGAATAATTCAAGTCCTGAGAGACTTGGCCTGAGTTCAGTGCCATTACACCGTGTCACAGTCGTGACAAACTTCCGGAAAAGGAATTTTTTTCGCCATTTAACAGTACTAGTACAATCATCAGGGAATGTCACAGATCGTCACAAAAATCAAAGGGAATGTCACAGATCGTCACAAAATCAAAGTTGTATATTTTGCATATACAAACAACTTTCATGAAGTCACCTACACTGCCAGTTGAATAGTTATGCCAGCACTAGTCAATTACTAGCTGAGCTACAACTGATGAGCCTCTATCTCCATGACTACTTGAGGTAAACACATGATTCAAGTACTACTAGGAAGTTTTTAACCAGTACCATTAATTGACCATGGTCTTTGATCACTATCATACCATATGATGACTGTATTCAGTTTTCGGTCATAACAATAGGAATATCTGGTACTTAAACTAATGTGTGGTAGGTGACTCATATCTTCACATACTCCACACCAGGGCTCTGGTATTACAGCTTCAGATCCTGAGTGAATATGACACTAGTAGTGCAATGTATCCACACATCAGTAGTATTTGCATCAGGAACAGACAACTTTGCAATCACACGCTCTGTAGACTTGATAGCCGTGGTAGCCCGGTAGACAAGTCCCGTCATCTCGGGTGCTTGGTAGCACCATGTCAAGTTGTGGTAGCAACTAGTAGCAGCTAGGTGGTACACTAGTAGTATCTAGTAGTTAAGGATAGCTGAGTGAAAATTCACTGAATACTTTGGTTACAGAATGAAAGAAGGCCTAATAATTGTATTGCAATGACTACAGAATACACGAATTCGAGATAGTCAGTGCGCAGCCTCTGCCGCGTGAAGCTCCACCTCCCTGCGCGCTGTGCGCTCGTCCAACGCCAGCCCAGGGGAGCCAGTGTGCTTGGCATGAGCATCCACCTTCGAGAGGGTTGGCTCTCGAAGGTGGCGCAGAGACGCTGCAGGCAAGCTCGTCGCGGATGCTCAGCCTGGGAGCGAGAAGGCCAGTAGGCGTCACGCCGGGTCGTGGGGGTGTTAGCGGGGCATCGGGGTAGAGGTGGTGGCGGGGCATGGGAGGGTGGGGCATGGGAGGGCAATCTTCGTCGTCTGCGGGAATGGCATGGTCAATATGGCTGGAAATTGGTGAGCGCATGCGGGCAAGGGCGCTGAAGGTTCGTACCAAAGATCGTGCGATTTCGCCCGCGAGAAAACGAGCTACACGAGTTAAATCACAAAATAGGCTCGAAATGGAGAACACACACTAACACTCTTCTTGTAGAGTGCCGAGGGAGACGGGAAGCGAATTATGGGTGGGCATGTTGCTGCTTGTGCCAGGGCAGAGGGTAGGGGGTGTGCGGGAGAATGCCACGTCTGAGTGAGGGGGGAAGAAAGAAGGGTAAAATGTGACAAAATGGCGCCACTTTCTTTTTATGACTCGGCCAAGATCCGGATCCATCAATCATGTCATTCTGACATGTGATCATGGACTTAGCAGATTTTGTGTCGCTCTTGGGCACTTGAAGATGCTATAAACATACTAAGGAGACTGGCTATCCCTTCCCAGTTCACAGACTGTCTCCTGAAAACATTGAGAGAAAGTCCTATGAATATTCAGCTGTATCAATGGACCGGAAAACCTGCCAAGCTATCAATGGCTACTATGCAACCAAGTGAATTCTATGCAGATCTATCAGCATCTACCCGACTTTTGATGATTGCTACTGAGGCTACTGCGGCTACAGAGTCTCCAGTGCTGTAAGAGCTTGCCAGGTAGCAAAAACCATTTTCCTGATGTGATCTTTATTAACCCTGCAAGATAACCATGGATCTCTAGCTAGTTAGGGCAGATAAAGTTGGGAGAGTGCTCATTTGAAGGGTATAGCACCCTATCATTATCTTTTTCATCTAGTCATCTCATTTGGTGCCATGACATCAACCTATTGACTGCCAAGTATGATTCAATACTGAGCTAGGGAGTATTTTGCTGATATCTTGGGACTACATCCATGGAATCCTATGATCTAAGTTGATATAGTGACATATGATGGTCCACTATGACTCTACCCATTTATGATCATACCACAAGTCTTAGAGCAAGTCAATTCTTAGAGGCCTTAGGTGTCATATAACACAGGATGAAGATGGGCTACAGAGGCAGGGGCACCACTTTCTGGGAGCTGGATCATGCCCCTACTCATAGATATACTTAGATTTCTCAGACTCATAAAGGCCATGCCATGGCCAACCTATCATCTTTGGAATAGATAACACTGATAATGATACTGTGAGGGATCCAGAATGGCTATGAGGTTGATTCAAGTGCTGGACAGGTTCATTTGGAGGTCTATACCATCCTACCTTCATGTCTTGGATTATACTTGAAATTAATTTCTGACCAGTTGTAATAGCGAAGACACTATGTTTTGCTCTTGCCCTATGGGTACCTACCCCCTCTTCCACTACCTCGGGTGACACATACCTGAACCACAAGTAATTACAGTAGAGGGTCTTAGTACACATTCAAATACCCCCATACATGCACCTCAATGTCCAGTACTCGGTCTATAGACCCTACTATTCGTGTAAACCAGTTCTGCACTCATCGGACACCCTGGCCTCTCCTCCTCCTCCTCGCTCCCGTTCCTGGCCGCAGAGGGGACGATTGTACATCCCTTGCGGGCCAGGCGCTACTCCTAACCTCCTAGCACTCCTCCCCAGTCCCCTTGTGTCAGTTGAATGTTTTTGTTGGATACCATTGAGTCAACGGTCGTTCAAGCCAAAATCATGCACCAGAGGAGCCATGACGGGGAAGTGGATCAAACTGGCTATCGCGAAAAAGACCAACTTGAATATGCGTTGATCTACCGACACCGGCATGCTTAGAGTCTGCTCGTGGATTACCAGCCTGAGTCAGCTCAAGGTCACTTCTGTTCGCCATCCGTATCGGCAGTGCCCCATGGTGCTATTGCCCAGGTTTGATCCACAATCTAGACACTGTTGTAGACGCTAGAAGGTCGCTCAATGGGCAGCAAAATTATCTTCAGATTCGAACAGCGGCATCGCGAGTGGAAACCTGCAAGTTCCGTTCAATTATGCTGACTATACTCATGCTATGACTTATCGACAACAGCGACTTCAATTGGATGTCGATGAATGGTTGTTTCATTCGCGGGCGGGTGTCCGTTTTCATATATTGTCACGAGCCAGAGAGTTGGCCGACGCGGACCACGGAAAGATTTTCTCGATCTGTTGTCGTCGATAAGTAGCATCTAACTTTCCTTGAAAGCTTATTTTGGGGGATAGCTTGCGGCCAGGATAAGAGCCAATGCTGTAGATGTATCTTTGGACCGATAGCAACTCCAAGGCGGAACAGAAAACAAAAAGAAGACGGGAAGAAGTCGACAAAATGACATGCACCGCTTGGAGATCATCTTGGCGCACTCAGGGCGCGTCAATCTCGGATCTACCCGAGTTGGGCTCGGCAACGGCTCGACGCGTCGTTCTCGGCCACGTGCTTCCCACGTGTGCGTTCCTCCTACTAGGGCGCATGTTCCCCGTTGTCACGTGCTGCGTGCTACGGGCCCCGCGATGGCCCGACACCAGCGCCGGAGCAGACGGGCCGGGTCTTATCTGTGACAAGCACCAATCATAGCGCGTTGAAGATCATGGCCCAGAGAGCCAGCTCAAGGGACTCTGGCACCACCACCTCCACCAGGTGGTCTTATCCGTGACACTTCCCTTCTAGGTCCTGATAGGAAGTTGAAGCCAGAAATACGCGAGTTCAGAATCAAGAACAAGCTTTGCCTTTTCTGCGGCAAATCGGGGCCCATGGCCAACAAATGTCGAAAGAAGAAGGCTATGTTGGACGCATGCGCCGCTGCTATCACTCCGGCAGCTGCTGCTGCGACTCTGGCGGTCGCCACTCCGGTCGACAACACTGAGTCAAAAAAAATAGTCAGTGACTCGGTCCCTCTTGCAGCTGAACCGAGCGGTGTTGACTCCACATTGCTACCAGAGGTACGTCTCAACGCGTCCGCTCTTTCTTCTCACCCCTTGTTTCTGGATCTTCATGTTTCCGCTCTCGTCCCGGGGAACCCGGATTCAATCCTGTCAGGAATAGAGTCTGGTTCAACCCCAACTCTTTCTGTCGTACAACGCATAGCGGCGGGATTCAACTCCCGCTTGAGGACTCTTATCAACTCTAGATCATCTCATTGTTTTATATCTGCCTCCGTCTGTAAAATGAAGAATCTTTTGCCCTATGCTGTTTCGCCTGTCAAGCTACGGTACCTCGACGGCTCCTCATCAACCATCAACCAACAAATCCTCCTTCTTGTCTCGTTTCTGACTGACGAAATCCACCTTGTGGAATTTTATGTTACCCATCTGGACTCTCCGTGCGAAATCATTCTTGGATATAGTTGGCTCAACCGCTTTAATCCGTTGATTAACTCATGTCCACAGTAACATGAATAAATATATCAACTACTCAATAGACTCCTACTAGGCGCAACCTCCTGCGAGCGGCGCACATATGGTGGCGGCTGCGCATCCTCGGCCACCAACACTGTCCCCAGCGTCCCAATGCGCGCCTCGAGCTCCGCCACCCGCGCCTCCAGAACACGCTCCCGCTCGCGCATCGACGACGTCGTCTGTGCACTCCGCCCGCGAGAAGTCACGCTCACGATCACCGACGGGGAGCGCGAGACTGTTGGGGGCGGCCCGAGGTCCAAGTCAGGGTCAACGGGGGAATTGGAATTGCTGGCGAAGCGGACCGGGGAGTCGTCTCGCTCAGGGGCATCATGTTGATGGTTTACCGAAGGAAGTACGCCTGCAGCTGTCCAGAACGGGTCGCCTGTGTGGATATTCGCGTTAGAAATACCACTCCGATGGGTTCACTGATAGGTACGCACTTTTCTCGTTCATACTAGGCGCAGCATCCTCTGGTATCCTAGGTAGAGAAGCGCCCGAGGGACGTGCTTCCTCCATTGCCTTTGTAGCTGCGGCAACAGGGAAGACGGAAACGTGCGGATGGCGGGCTTTGCGTCGTCTCCAAAAGCAGAAAGCGGCGATTAGCATGGCTATGAGGGCCGCGGCACCGAGAGCAGCGCCGACACCAGCAGCGACAGAACTGTGTTTGGAGGTCGCGGGGCTCGTGGGTGGCGGCCTGCTGGTGCTGTTAGCACTACAAGTTGTTGATCATCGGAGGGACATCCGTGGAAGAAAACATACCCTGCGATAGTCACGGTGGTCGAGCTATGTATCCGCTAAGTTATAATTGCAAAATTGACATGAAATACACACAATGTTTGTCCAGCGGCTCCTGCCCCGATGGCTTTCGGAGACTGTGTAGGAGATGACGAGCTGTGGACAAGATGAGTTTGACCCTCAAGACGGACTGTGTATGAAGTCACCCTGTCTTTGCCGGGGCGGAGCTTGGATTATTTGACACAGGCGCGACTGGATTCGATGGAGAGTTTGGATTTGCGGAGTTACTATCACCGTTGTTGCCAGTGGTACCTCCGCTGGATGTGCTTCCTGCGCCATTCCCACCCGTGGTCGTACCTCCGCCTATAGTGGTCCCTCCGCCTCCACCAGTTGTCCCACCGCCCCCACTCCCTCCAGTATTCCCCCCACCCCCACCACTTTGCGCCGCCGCAGTGGTAACCACCGCATAATCAAACAGAGCTACCACCTGGTCGCTCGTCGTGTGCGCATCAACCTTGAGCACGAAGTTGACCGTATGCGGCCCATTACTAAGCCCCGTCCTCGAATAAAACAGTGCGCCATAAACCTTAGCGTTAACGCTGGAGGTGTAGTAGTGCGTCGCGGACACGCCGTCGAGCGTGAAGACGATGTCTGGGCCCGAGGTCGGCTGGTCGACGCCGTAGATGTATACCCCGGTGCCTGCCGGGCGAGGTTAGCGAGGGCGGATGGATGGGCGGGGAGACGGCGGCGCACCGGTGAAGCTGAACGACCCGCCAGTCTGCTCGGCCTTGCCCGAAACGTAGCTCCCGTCATGCCACGTCCCGCCATAAACCTTGGACTGGTCGAGCTTCGTCGCGCAAGCAGAGCAGTCCCCGTTATTCGCGCGCCACTCGCCGTACCACGAGAAGCTCGAGTGCGTGTCGTCAAACGAGGTGTTCTGGCCCCGCGCCACAGCGGCGAGGGAGAGAATGAGGGGAAATAGCTTGCAAGCGGCCGGTAAAGAGTGTCGGGTCTGCATAAGCGCAGTCAGTAGTGGCAGGAAAAGGGGAAGGGAGACGTGGGTATCGGCTGAGCAATACAGAGCTCGCCAGCAGCACTGTCAGCTGAATTGAGCCAACTGGATTGCAGGACACACGCTATATGATCATCTTGATGGAGCGAAAAGAAGTTATCGGGGGACGACAGATGTTCCCATCCTTCTTTAGACTGTAGTTGCCCGCGTCGTAGTCGCCTAGCAGTATGTAGTCTGGAGGGAGTCTTTGACTGGGATATCACAGATGGCGTAGCCCGGGCGGGTAATGAGCAACACCATTGAAGGCCAACGTAGTAAGATGTGAGGGGTATCTGGATGAATCCATAAGCTTGGCGTGCGAGGGTTCTCTGCAAAGCTCACAAGTGACAGCAATCCCCCCCGTCATCTTGCGGTGTTCTCCGCCGAGATGCAGCGACGCAAGCCGCGTACTAGTAAGTATATGGAGCCCGCACACGTGGGCCGTTGGCTATAGCCAGCGGGTGGGGCTGTCGCGTCCAGCCGTAGTACTGGTGTACATAGTAATGCCGGTCGCAGGTTCAGGCCGCCGCTGCAAGCCGCGCGTGTGGCCAACCGCAAAAGCAGCGGGGTCGTGGTCGTGTGTCAGAGAAAAGAAGCGAGGCCTTAAGTAGCGGATTGAATGCGGTGACGTGGGAAATGATCGGCCGTTGTTCGGTGTTCGGAGAGCATAGCCGCCGGCCGGACCGAGCCGGAATCACGATTAAGTACTCATGTGATGATTAGAGTACTTATTGGCAGTTAGAAACTTGGCAAGAAATATGTTTTTTTTGGCAAAGTGGAGTCACATCACGACCTAAGTCTATATATCTTACTGTATTAGTCGTTGTAAGCGCCTGTACACACCGCGATACACGCAAGCCCACAGAACCCCACCGCGATGCACGGCGCGCACACCCCCGACGCGACCAGGCAGTCGACTGCGCCACAACAGCAGTCCGCCGCCCGCACAGACCCGCGCCGGGCCGGGCCGTCCACCTTGTCCGACTCGGCCTGCGGATCGAAGCACACCCGCGGCAAGCGTGCCGGCCAGCCGCAGCACGCCCCGTTCACGAGCGCCGTGCCGCACCCCGGCGCACGCCGCGCCTCCGCGAGCACGACCGCGATCCCGCCCGCCCGGCCCGGCGCGTCCCGGACGACATGCGCGATGTGCCCGCAGAAGTCGCACACGCAGATCGGCGTCCGGAGCGGGCAGGTGAGTGTGCGCGCCGCCATATCGAGAGCGGTGCTCCGTGCCGGCCGCGCGCCCGGGGCGGCGTGCATAGGTGGGGTCGGCGCCGGCTCTGGGACCAATGTGAGTCCAAAACGGCGTCAAGAGATCGCGCGGCGCACGTGTGGTCACCACGGGCCCGGGGACACCGATATCCTTTTCTGGTGTGTGCTGTTGCGGGGCGTGGCCTGTCGCTGACATTGGGGATCGTGGCTGGCTCGCCTCGCCTTGCCTTTTATACATATGATCTTTACGTGGCCTGATCGGCCCGCGTCAATAGAAGCTGATCGGGAGTCGCGTTGGCAGATGGGCAGCACGGAACGCTATTTATACTACTAGCCTTATAGGCAAGTTTGGCAACTTGAAGGCAAGTTACAAACGTACTTTTGGATGTTGTGAACTGACACTGTTCACAGCAACTCCTTGGGCAATTCGATACTATTTCAGAGAACGTTAACCCAGCAGACAACTCTGTCATCTTGACAAATAGACAGACTCGAACTGGAATTGAAAAACTATACAGGAAGAAAAATCAAAGGTTGGTACTGAGCGTAAAGCGAACAAAGTCCAAACAGATACCTCCTTTTCTGCGAACGAACTGGGACCCGTATATATACACAGCCCATTGCCCAAACGCCCCCCTACAAATGCAATCCACCCAGAATGCCATTGACGAGTCCCGTAACCTGTCTGTTCGCGCACCCGCACCCGCCGAGGTTCAGGAGGTCGAGCACATCCTGCACGATGCAGCCGAGCAGCACAAGAAGCTCGTTCAGCAGATCGTTTCCGCAGCCGCAAGCCGGTTGCAAGACACCCGCCGCGCCGACGGCGTTGTTCAGGACCTGTGTCGCTGGCTGCACGAGGCCCGTCACCGCGCGGGGGTCCGTAAGGCTGCCGAGGAGTCCCCCAAGAAGTCCACCGACGACGCCGTTGAGCCCCGCGAGCGGCTGCGAGAGGCTGCCGCCCGGGGAGAGCGCGGCGACGGCGTTTGTCCCGGGCGTGATGGTGCGCAGGATGCCGGTGAGCCCGCAGCCGCCGAGCAGGCCGGGGAGCAGACCGCCGAGGACGCCGGAGAGGCACCCGCCGAGCAGCCCGTCGACGGCCGTGTTGCCTAGTTTGCCGGCGGTGAGCTGCCCGCCGGCCGGGGCGATACCAGCGAGGAGTGCCTGGATGCCGGACTGTGTCGCGGCGATGGGGGCGGGGACGCCTCCGCCGGCGGTGGGCGGAGCGAGGCCCGCGATTTTGTCCGAGAGCGCCTTCGCTGCGTTGAGGTTGTCGACGAGCGACTGGCTCTTGCTAACGAGGCTCTGTTGTGCTGCGCTCTGTGTGGGAGTGGAAAGTTAAGCCATGAGGAGGGAAATAAAGTGGGGGGCGTACCAACTGAGGCGGCACGGTGGGGTCCGTGCGCTGTTTGAAGTGTTAGTGACGCTCAGCGGGATATAAATCAGCGGTGCACGACGTACAGAGTCCAGTTGAACCTGCAGCAACACGTAAGTCTGGCTCGCCAGCAGCAAGAGAGACCTACCGATGGGACGGCGAAGACGCCGGCGACGAGCAGGGAGACGACGAGGGCCTTGAACATCGCTGCACTAGGACTAAGACTCGGGAAAACTCTTCGCAAAGAAGAATGAGCCCTCCTCTCGTTCGCCTCAGCCTTATATACTGCTCGCCTCACCCAATACGCCACCCGCTGCGTCACCAATGAGCAGCACCTGCAGCACCTCCCTCCTCGTATCTGCATCTGCAGCGCGCTAGAACAGCCCAGAAGGTGCCAACAGAAAGCCCAATGGCGACCGAACAGCCCCCGAGCCGAGCCGACGCGTTCGCACGATACCCCGGGCCAGCCCTCTCGGGGAGAGCCTGTGTGCCTCGGAGGGCGTGGGCGCACAAACCAGAGATCGCAGTACGAAAGCCCAACTGGAACAAGGCGGTAGAGTGGCCCGCCGATGCCCGATGCACAACGCATGCGCAAGCGTTCATCAACGACCGCCACTTGGACACTTCCTAGTCCCGACACATCGCTCGAGGAACGCTGTTAGTTGGCTGGAGGGTAAGTCTCCCGACCAGACGGCCGGTGGCGTCGGGTGTGTCAGGTCATCAAGCTCCGGAAATCGTCCTCCAGCCCGAGATTAAGATGAGCATTGCGAGTGGTCAGGTCCAGGGCAGACAACAACGCGTGGAACCGCACTTCCTCGAAAGGTGTCTGCGCAGCTGGCAAATGTCCGATGAGACGCAACGTCGTCATGGTGGTCGTCAAGAAGAAAAGTTTGATGTGACTGATCTCAAGGGCGTCACTTTCCCTGTTCGGATCAGGGATGGACATGGTAGTACTGTAGTATTTCAATCAATTCGGCAGGCCCGTGACATGCCTAATTGATCGAAATACTACAGTATTCCTAAAATTCAAAGGCTAGTAACCGCTCGTTTTTCTTTTTGAACACAGTGTTCTTTTGCAATTCCTAATAATTTCTACATTGTTTTCTGTCTATAGAAAAAAGTAAAATCAATTAATTACATAAGTAGCCCAAGGGGGGTTCAAGATTCGAATTCCGGATATTTCTTTTTTTTCCAACCCTCTGGGGCCCCCCTCCCTTACTATATCGGGTAATATGTCCCCACGATAAGATAAGATCTCACACCAGGTGACCAATGATGAGATTAAAAGTGTTGCAGAAAGTAACATTTTGGACAAACTTTGCATAAATAGATATATATAATATATATATATATATATATATATATCTGTTTGATAAACTCACTTTCAGCTCTTCAATACTAGTGATCAGCCATGACTAAGCTAAGAATGGTCACCTGCTATCAATAACTGGATGACAACAATGTGACAACCTATCCAAGCCCAAAAACCTTAAATTCTTCAGATATGGGGGCAATATGGTGATATGGTGATATGCAAATGAATCTTTATAATAGATGTGGACCTATATTTGTTTCAAAGATCCTTTATACAAAAAGTTTTTTTGTTACCCCTAGTGCCCCCCTCTATGTCTTTGATAAGGATCTTGAACCCCCTTGAAGTAGCCTAGCTCCAACTTTTATGAACTGGGCCAAATGACATCACTATTACATGTATACACAAGTATCATGATGTGTATCAGCTAAACATAAAGATACAATTTTCTACACTAGGGTGCTATAAGGAATTCCCCAGCCAATACTTATAGGTGTTTCCAACAATAACAGTTTGTAAGGGCAACCCAGAGGCTTGAGATCAAGGTCCTAGCAGGGGAGGATCCAAAGAGAAGAAACTCTAAGGGTCCGCCTGCTATGGTGCAGTGCACCTAGTCACCACCAAAATGTGACAACGGATATTGCTCTAGCAGTACTGATTCAAATTCTTAGTGCTCTAGCCAAAAGAGACTTTTTGAGATATAGAAAAGATTGGCTAGAAGGATAGTCAAAATATTCGAAGTTGATTGACAAATATATCTTTTACTCTTAGTTCCACCATTACTTATGTAATCACGTGAAAAAGACTGTAATCACGTGAAAAACACTGGGGAAAAATCGGGGAAAATCAGAGGAAATTCAATGGAATAATCTTTTACAAATGGTAGTGAAATAGATAAATGTTTTATATATCCAGAGACTCTACAAGACGGTCAGGAATGCCCCGATGTGACTTATATTTGCGGCTTAGAAATTCCTTAACTTTCTTCTTCCTGAGGTTCTTGGGGGGAGTCTGACATCTCAGAGAGGTTGGAGGCGGTAGCATTGAAGGCCTTGGCTGCAGCCCGACCTGTCCGGGCATGTGCAGCAGCAAGCTGTGTCTTGCGCTTCCGGCCCATTTGGTGGTTGTAGAGATTGGGAAAGTTTATATTTTCAGCCAGTATATAGGCAATGCACAAGTCAAGTCCTCTATCGAATCCGCCGCCCACGTGATGTGATTATGTAAGATTATATAAGCTGTCACATTTTGGTCGTGACTAGGTGCACTGCACCATAGTGGCTGAGTTTTGGTCTGTGGGACTGAGTGGTAGTAGGTGCAAAACAATCAGCAGGGAATTAAACTCTCATCTAATATGCTTTGGTAATATCAAGTATTATGAATTAATAGTGCAGTTCAAGTATTTCTGGACCAGAGAAACACATGAACACTTTTTCATCACTACAAACTACCAGAGAAACACATGAACACTTTTTCATCACTACAAACTTTCAATCAAATCGTCTTAGCAGTGAATTTCTTTCTTGATTTTGCAATAGTGTAGTGAATTGATTTTGCAATATAAGTAGTTGATGGGAAGTTTATTTTTTAAAGATATATCTTGAGACTAGATTGAAAGAGAATATTACAGAACACAGAAACATTCTTTCTAAAATGTAGAGATAGTCTGAGAGACTTAACTTCACTTAAGCACCACTGGATGTTGTCTGAATAGCAGACACATGCGAAATTTAAAAATTTGCCTCCCTTTTAAACATGTATTGAATGTACACAAATCAACCCAAAAACTGCTCACCAAAAAATTCACACCAAGTGAAAGTGAATTGTTCATCGGACCAAGCTTCAACACACTGTCATCTACCCAAAGCAAGGGGTTCGACGGCTAGTCCAGGGGAATGATGCAAAAGGCCCTCCTGGGCACTGGCCTTGCCAGCCCGCGAAGCGCCGCCGCCGCCCGTTCGCCGCGGACGCGGGACATACGTACGGTATACTCCATCGGAGCGGGATATTTTTTTTTAATTTTCGAGTGGTCTGTTCCGCGATCGCCGCGGCGTCGGCATGCCGACACCCGATGGAATTTCCACGCTGCCCTGGGTCAGCGCCACTTCCATGCATCTCTCCTCCCGCCACGTCCCTGCCCGCGTCCTTGTGCTCGGGCTCGTCCTGCTGTTGGGGCTGGCTTACTGCTCCGTTGTGGACAAGGTCGCGCTGCCGCGATATGTACCCTCCGCGGAGACGCGCGCGCTGGGGCACCCGACGTTCGCGGAGGTGAGGGAGGCGGAGCGCTTGCTGCCGCAGCACCGGGCGCCGGGTCGGTGGGCGCTGGGCGGCAAGGGGAAGCGGGGGAGGTATGTGTACTTCCCGTGGGAGGCCTGGGGCACCGGGTGCGTCTCTCCTACTCACCTTCTCATCCGCAGGCTGCTGACATTGCCCAAAGGTGGAATAACGTTTTCCAAGAGCAGCTGCTCAACACGCACCTCGCCTTCCGCGCGGACCGGGGGTACGTCTTCGGTGACTACATCGCGCGTGACCACCCGCCGTTCAGCGACACGCTCCCGAACGGAACGCGGAGCCACCTGCATATACCGATGGGCGCGTTTACGAGCGGGCCGACGGGCGGCGGCGCGTGGGGCGGTAGGGAAAAGGGCAGGCCGCGGGGGATATCGCGCGCGTGGTGGGACGTGGTGTGTAAAGGGAGGAAGACGGTGCTGTCGGCGCCAGAGATGAACAGGGAGCTCGCGATCGGGCCGGAGACGAGCGGCGCGGACCGGATGGTGCGCTGGGGCGCGAAGCTAAAAGATATGGAGGCGGAGTGTGTGGAGGTGGTGGACGGGACGCCGTTCGATTACCCGTGCGTGACTCATTTGCCTTGGAAAAAGACACGTTGACACTATCACAGGTTTATCATCACTGACAAGCCCGCGTCGATCTGGGACTGGCCCGCGTCCTACGGCGCGTCACTCACACTCACTGCATTTCGCTGGTCTGCGCTCGTCACGCGGGCCCTGATCCGCAACCACGCGCTCTTCGCCCCGTCCCTCCCCACACATCTCCGCCCATCCCTCCCTTGGCACTGGCACCTCCGCCTGCTCGGCCCGCCCGACCTCGGCAGCACTGCCGCCCCGCTCCCGCTGTCCGCCGTCCCCCCGCTCACCATCACCGCCCCGCCGCTCACAGGCCTGCTCGCGCTGCACGTCCGACGCGGGGATTACCAAGAGCACTGCCCCAACCTCGTGGCCGCGGCCGTCCCGTACAACACGTGGAACGCGCTCCCCGCGCTGCCCGACCGGCGCTCGCCGCACAGCGAGATGCACGCCCACTGCTTTCCGGGTGTGACCCAGATACTGGCGAAGATCGAGTCTGTGTTGAAGACAGAGAGGAAGTTTAAGGTGGAGCGGGTGTATATCGCGACGAACGGCGACGCAGATTTTATTAGTCAATTGACCGAGCGCCTCAAGACGACGTTCGCCGTCCCCGTCGCGAGCTCGCGCGACATGCGCCTTACCCCGGAAGAAGAGGCGGTCGGCCAGGCGGTGGACATGGCGGTGCTCACCGCCGCGGAGGTGTTCATCGGCAACGGGGTGCGTGGCCTTCTATTATCACGTTGACGAGGGCTGACGAGGGGCAGTGGTCCAGTCTCACCTCGAACGTCGTGCAGCTGCGCCTCGCGGGCGGGCGCCCGGCCGCGCGCTGCCGCTTCTGGTAATTTCGGATGTATTTTTATATCCAGGGAGGAGTGTAATCATGCTGTTGACAAACCCCCCCCCCCCCAAAATTTGCGAAAGCTGCCAAAAAACTGTCAAACCTAAAACCATGATATGTTTATTATAAGTGTGGCTATGTGCACCGCCCGCATCCAATACCTGGAGCATCAGAATATCACAAGGCTGTGCACACTGCATGCTGGCCTTATATCCGACGACTCCACAGCTTGCCGCTCTCTCCGTTTCTCCTACCACTACCACTATGACACTCTCCCGGACAACCACCATCCCCAGCATCCACAGCTGGTGGTCAGACTCCAATCCAACTGGGGCCACACTCAATCTTCATGCTGCAGCAAAGCCGCTCATGCGGTTCATGTATGAACGTCAAGCACTGAAGCTTATCCATACGAAGGGGACTGAAGAACTGACACAAACCATGTTTGTTGAGTATCTCAGCTATCTCATGTGAGTGGACTTCAAAATACAATGCGCACAAGCTGACTCTCTGGCATATTAGTGTGCCATATCTCAGCGACTTCACAAAGTCACGGATCTTTGGAGAAATCTGGGCAAAGATCTCAACAGCAAAGAGGTGCCAGTCTCTCTATGAATGGGGTGTTCTTTCTGAGGGACTACTGAATGGTCCTCAACAACTTCTGATAATCAATGAGCTTCTGCATTCTACTACTCAACAAACCCAGTTGCAGGGAGTGGATCTTATAGTTCAACTAGCCACCTATCGATGTGTAATCCCATTAAACTTGATATCTGAGTGTGTTACCATAGTGTTGAAGCTTCCACGGTACGGCTTGTTCATGTTTAAAAACAAGTTTATACTTACAAATGTGCAGAACAAGACAGCACTCCATGTTTCTGAGCCAATTCTGCTATGCATTGGATGGTGCCGAAGTTGTTGCCAAAAGCCTACAGGCTCACAACTATATTCATTTGGCTCATTCAGTTGCCATAGATCTGATAGGGGGATTAGTCTCACATTGGGGCTGTGAAGCACTATGCACTATCATTTATCCAGAATTTCAAGTCTTGCAACTCGGACAACATGGATATGGACATTTACCAGATAGAAAATCTTGGTAGGCATTTTCTTACAGTTTACATGCAATAGTTGACTAGCTGCTTAGGCTCAGTGTATCAGTGATTCTCAATGAGATGCTACTTATGCATGGGCCAGAGGCAACATACACTGATATTATCCAGGTTGCACCTGCAATTTTAGGACAACAGGGAAAACATCCTGCAAAAAGATATTTTGCATGTTATTATGTCAAGACAATTGCAGCTCAGTTCAGCTATGATTGCCTCCAGACAACTCCCTATTATATTCGATATTTACAGCCAAGACAACGCCAACAAGATCTGTGCCAGGCTTGGCAACAACTAAATTCTCTTCTGCATGCACTGGACATGATGGTTATGTATGGTGGTATAATTAGATGATTTATGAATGTGGTACTAACTGATATCCTCAGGGAGAAGTCTATTGAGACCAAGCTGGACACAGTGGCAAACTCTGTAATAAGCACTGTGTCTCAGTCAATGGTGGATATTGTAGCAACATTCAATCAGCTTGACAATGACTCTGGAAGCATGTTCCAAGGTTTCAGGCCCTGGCTCAAGCCTCAGGCAGATTCGCCTTATGGTAGCCCTGAGGTATACTGAGGAGATTTCACCAAGATAATATCCTGAGAGAATGGGCTGGATCTTATTCATAATAGGTAATTAAAAAACAGAATGTAACTACGAGGAAGGTTCCCAAAAGTATTATTCATTGATCATGGTAGTTGATTACTATCATATGATATCATCACCATTTATGCTAGAATGCTTATGCACATGGGACAAGCCTGTTAATATGAGAGCATCTTAGAATGAACAGATACTTCCTTCCACCATAGTCCAGGCTCGGCCCACCTGTTTAGCCTAGTGTTTGTCATAGGTGGCGTGACCCGTGATGGGCCGTGAGGACAGCCTGGACATGCCATTGCAGGTACGGGTATGGGCCTGGTGCCCTGCGCCAGGCCTGGCTCACTGGCATGCCAGTGGCACCTGCTCTGCCTCCACAGAGGACGTACCGCGGCAGTGCGACCTTGTCCACAACGGTTTGTAATACTTTTGTTGTTATACTTTCTCAAGTTGGACATGGAACCTACAATTAGACACGGCACATAAACCTTAAGATACTCAAATTTTTTTTTTTTTTGTAGTCATATACCCACCAGCCCAGATGTCAAATTGCCCCAGCTGTCTACTACTTGTGGTTCAATCAGAGCCCCCCAATGCCAAAATCAGTGCTGAGGTCACACCAATTTCAAGCACCATTTCAAATTAAAATGCTACAGTAAGTAAGTCCAGTTTCTGTTTGACAAACTTTATGAACAGTTTTAACCCTTTTTATTTCTGTTTATTTATGGGGTCAAGCAAATGGTAATAAGAGAGAGAAAAGGTAACTTGATGATAATGGAATAATAATAACTATAATGGGATGGAGGTATATGTTTCGTCTTACATCCTGTATCCCATTACCCCTTGATCTCTGCTATTTGTGTCAGGCTCCAAGTTAAGCCTTGCAAGGCTTCCCCTTAGAACCAATCATGTGCCTGGAACAGAACAGACAAATTATTGGGCCCACAAGCTAAGCAAGGGGGTCGATATAAAGCCAAAAGCGGCTGCTACAGTGGTCCCTTGTTGTTAGTAATGGCCAGGTCCAGTTTAGGATTTTGGTTTGAATCTGGACTGAACCAGGCTGAATATGTCACAGATAAGACCCGGCCCATCCGCTCCGGTGCTGGTGTTGGGCCATTTCAGGCCAGCAACATGCAGCACATGATGATAGGGAACAGGCGCCCCAGTAGGAGGAACGCACACGTGGGAAGCATGTGACTGAAAACGATGCGTCGAGCCGTTGCTAAGCCCAACTCGATACCAGGGGACTGGGGAGGAGTGCTAGGAGTAGCGCCTGGACCGCAAGGGATGTACAATCCGTATATAATGCGCAATAGCGTACCATGTACTCTATTGCTTAGATCGTCTGAAGAACTACCTTTCTCTGTGCAAGGAGGTGCCAACGACTCATCGGGTCTGACACGACCCGATTTGAACCTTCGACTACTGACAGCGACAAGGGATAGAGTTAACAGGCCCTTTCGGTTTCAATCTACCCCGCTCGCCATACTCGCGGGCCCGACAATCCATCTGTTCTGTTCCGGGCGCGTGTTCCTAGGAGAAGTCCTTGCATGGCCCAACCCACAGTCTGACAGAATCAAAGCAATCCCCTTACGCCTGCACAACATTGACTTGGGTCCGGAAGATGGGGAAGATGTGTTTCACGACAGCTTACAATACTATGCCTCCGGCTCCATCGAATAAATATATTGCATTTTAAAGCTGGCTAAAGTCTCTAAGTAGCTGAGCAGTCAGGTTGTCGTGCTGCAAATGGGGTGAACAGCAGGTCGCGGACAAACAGCCTGGTACTGCGCCTGCAAACCATTTGCCTGCCGGGTCAAGAGCCGCCCGGCTAGTGAACTTCTTACCTTGCCAGGTATTCACTATGCAAAGCCATGCCGTGCCGGGTCGATCTCACCCTCGCTACAGGGGTGACCTGGCATCACCCGGTGTTCCCGTTTTTGCTGATGACTCGGTAAGGGCAACCCTGGAGACTCTGACGAAAGCCTAGCAAGGGAGGATCCAAAGCGTGGATAAAAGCTACAGGAAATACACGGAGGGACTGACCTAGCAGGGGAGGATCCAAAGAGAAGAAATTCTAGTGGTCCACCTGCTAGGGCGCCAACTATATACTAGTCGTCCGTAACTGCTGATGTAGAGCACAGAAGGCCTGAGAGGCGTCACAGGCTCTGTCCCAAGGTGATCATTGGGAGGGTCTTGACAGATCGGTGATTTTTGCGGGCAAAGGAGGCTGAGGACAAGGGTCGGGGGGGTGGGTCGGAGCGTCTGAGGGGTCACTGGTCAGATGCACCTTGGATACATTCGGACAGTCCAAAGAAGGCCGAAGCGGGGGATCCCCTGACATCCCCCCCCTTTGAATGCACCGGTGTCCCGACACATAATCAAGGGGGTTTAAGATCCTTATCAGGCACATGGGGTAGGGGGGGGGTCCCCGGGGGGTAAAAAATTATATGAAAGATTTGGGCCTTATATGGGTGTAAAGACACTGAAAATATAGTGTATACACTCTAATTTCTATAGTTCACACCCCTCAGACTTATATCTATATACTTTCAGGCCTATGAGCTTGAGCCTTGGATAGCCCACCCTATAGGCCCATCATCAGGTAATTGATGAGAGGTGAACATGTTGAAGAGCCTAGCATGTGTATTTGAAGGCTCCAGGTATGTACATACCAACACATGCAAAAAAAAAGTTTCACAAATATTGATTTTTTTTATCCCAATTTTTGATCACATCAATAGGCACATGACGCGAATCATGAGAACATATTGCCTTATATGGAGAGGAGGGGGGGGAGAGGGGGGTCCCCAGAGGGTCGGAAAAAAACTTTCCGACCCTATATCCATGTTTCGAATGTTGAACCCCCCTTGCGCATAATACAGAAGGGCACAAGTCAACAATATAGAATATACAATAATGATACACAAATGTGGCTACAAGAACGAAGTGCATGAGGCACATTCTCCTGGTCGCCCGTGCGCTGTTGCTTGGCTAAGGGAAGTGTCTTTGACGTGCCTCAAAGCAAATCTCCGACTGCACCGGGCCCAACACCCATTGAAACTAGATCCTTACCATCAAAGGCGAGGAGCTGGTGGCAGTAGTCAATCTTCTTGTCCTTGAGTTTCTCGGGGGTATTGTGGGAAGTCGGCAGCAGGCATCGTGGGGCGGGCAGCGCGCTGTCGTGCAAGCGCGGACGGCGGCGGAGGTGGTGAAATGCAACAAGAAGACATCGTGAGAGAAGAACCGGCACAGCCCGGACCACGTGCCGCTGATCAACCACCTTCTCTCCTCCGCTCTCCATCGCCCGTCGCCCGACCCGCCCGCACGCAGTCCCGCGCGCCACGGCCCGACTCCCGACGCCAGCCACCCGGGGTGTAGTCCTCCTTGTCTTCCCACCATCCCAGGCCCCCTCCCTCGTTATACCTCATCCAGCCTCCGCCCGCGTCGGACACGCCGTTTCGCCCCATTTCGCCCCATTCTGGCCCCTGGGCTTAAATCTCGCAAAACAACGGCCCCGCCGCCGCGCTCCCTTCCACCCAGCTCTCCCGCCCCGTGGCCCCCACAAACCCGCCGACACGCACTAAACAAGCCACTGGCCAGCATTCTAGGCGACACCACGCACATCGGGGAACTGCTGGGGTGGCGAGCGCACGGCGCGCGTGGACTGGCGCGTCGATCCGCGTCGGATGCGGGCCAGCCACGCGCGGCTCTGGCCAGCGCGCGCTGCCGTCCACACTTGCCTGGCACGCCCCATGGCGCCCGGAGCGCCTCTCGCGGGGGTCTCTGACGTACGGACCCCCGAAGCTGGTGTGCAAACTTGGAAGACACTCACTGGGGACACAAATGTAGAAGCGCCCGCGGTTCTTGTCAGCCTGTGCTGTCAGCAAGCGGGAGGCAGTAGGTCTGTCCCAGGCCTTTGCGGGAGCTCATTCGCTGCAACTAGCAGGCGGAACAAGCAAGTGGCTGGTCCTGCGCAGCCCGACCGCAGTCTTTCTCGGCCTGCGGCGTTCCGGCCCGTCTGCCGCGTGTTCTACGTGAAATCGCCGCCGAGACGCGGCTGGGACGCTTCCAACACACATGCCGTTACTCGACGCTGAGCTCTCCAGTCGTCCTCCACCCGGAAATTAGGTGTACGCTGGCGCAGAACTCCCCCCGCTTCGGTTGCCTAGGCCGGATTCCTAGCGCGCCGCCGTGCCATCCATTCTGGGATTTGCTTTGTCTGGAAACAAACCACAGTCTTCCACGCGCACTGCCAAGCCGAATCACTTCGAACTTGAATTCGATGTGTGCAACACTGCGCCAGATTAATCTGCAACGCCGACGCCGCCCAAGCTTCTACATTTGTTTCTGCCACTTATTAGGCCATGCGACCTGAGGCCGACCAGTCGACTTACCAATGCCAGCCGCACTTGGTTGCCCTCACCGCAGATGCCAAGAACGACCTAGAGCTGCTCTCCACGCAATCCTCCTCCAAGCCGTCCGATTCGCCCCGCCCACTGCGCCCAGCTCCCCCCTCCGTGTTCTGGAACTCTGCATTCTCGACCACCAACGAGCAAATCTTCCACTCGTTCGCCACGGCCGCGACAGTATTGGGAGCGAGTCTCGTTGCACGAGCGTGGGCGAGCGCCGCAGCTGCTGAGCTGAGTGTCCGCGATAGTAACATTGAGCTGGGGCTGCTCGCCTTCAAGTCCGGTGAAGTGGAGGAATGCCAAACCCTTCGTCAATTGAGTACAATGGGTTTGGTCAGCGAGAAGGCGATATCAAGGTGAGGAGGACGGGCGGTGTCCAGTCGTCCGTGTCAATCTTCTTGATGTTGACCAGTGTGCTAACAGTGTTAGTGACGTGAAAGGCGGCTGGCGCCAAGTGCACCATGTTGTTTGTGCTGCCCATCTGTGGCCATGCTCGTTCTTGCCATCCCCCGTGCGTGGACAAACTGGCTTCGACAAACACATCGTACAGCGAGAAGAGGATGGTGTTCCGTCATTGACCTCCGAGCTCTCGCCGCTGTCAATCAGCAGTTAGATAACTTATCGACTACGACGACGATAGCACGCGCAATAGACTCCGTAAGAGGCAAGCGCAGCGACAGCGGGACTGAAGGATGATGAGCAAGGCGGTGACAAAAACGGGGCATGATAAGATTGGTCACGGTTACTTACTCGACGCCGCTGAAGCTGACTTGGGTCTCGACTACAAGGGTGTTGACGACAACGACGAACTAACTGGGGATGAGGGTCAGCGACTCAGAGAAACTCTCTGTTCACCACGACGGCTTTGTGAACGCCTGGGGTCCCGGGCTTTGAATGCTCGCATATGTCCGTGAGGCATTACGCGCGTGTTCCATATCCTCTTCCATCATAGTTGCTGAAGCCAACACAGGGCTGACACTTGCCTGGTGCGAATGCGTGAAAGGAAGTTGTCTTTAAAGGTTACTCTATATAGCAAGTACATGCTCAGGCCGGCAGTACTAGTAAGTGCTACAACCTATCTCCACCACTTACTCAACAACACAATTCTCCAACGCCGACACAAGGTTCGGTGTCTGAAGCTTCGTAAGGATGCTCTTCAAACTGGGGTTCCCACCCTGGGTCTTGGTGTACAGCGTCGACGTCAGCTCCTCGTCCTGCGGCACGTTCTTGCAGATGATGTTCTTGTGTTGCGCGACCAGCTTGAGGCGCTGATTCAACGCAGCTTGATTGACGACACAGTATTGCCAGAAGTCATCGGTCATCTCTTCATCTGCGGATACGTATCAGCAGCAGGTTTAGCGAACTTGAAGAGAAGACGCACCGGCGTCGCCATTCATCGGCCCGGAAATCAACACGTTCTTGTATATCTCGGCGGCTTGGGCCTTGAATTTCGGATTCCTGTCGAAGTTATAATTTTGAAACTGCAAATGGGGGTGAGTTGCCATGGCTCATCGCGGAGAACACACGCACATCCTTCCAGGGTTGCGTCTCCCCAGGAAACTCGAATACGCCGGCACCAGCTCCGGTCCAGGTGTACTCTGCAACGGATGGTTCCCACGATCAACGTCCCTTCAGCTGAGAGGGATCGAAACAACATACCGAAGACATCAATAGTTTGCGGCGGCTTTCCTCGTGCATCTAGTGCACTGCCAAAACACGCGAATTGTGCTGCAGCAAGGAGACTGTCGGTGAGATAGAAGCCGCCGGGCACCTCGGGCTTGTGGTTGAAGTCGCCTTGGGCGGCGGTCTTCGTGAGGTCCACGCCGGTCGCCAGGGAGGCGGATTTGCCTGGAACGGTGCCGTGGAAGAGAGTAACGGTGCCCTTCGCGCTAGGGTGCACTACACCCGCGCGCGCCTCGTGGCGGTTTAGCGCGAATTCAGCATATCGTCCTTGCAACGCCTTGGCGATCTGTTTCTTGGAGCACTTCGCTTTCGCGGGTGCCTTGGCGGGTGCTTTGGCGGCAGGTGCCGCCGCAGCCGGTGACTTCGCGGGGACGGTTGCTGGAGCCTTTGCTGGCGCTTTCGCGGGCGCTTGGGCGGGTGCTTTGACTGGCGCTGGGGCGGGCGCTTTGACAGGCGCTTTTGCTGGCGCTGGGGCGGGCGCTTTGATTGGCGCCTTGGCGGGAGGAGTCGTCGCCTATGTACCGAGGCAGTGAGCGGCATGACTGACAAACACGGGATTACGCACCCGCTTCTTGAAACCGGCGGCCCTGCGCGCTGCACGAGCCTCAAGCGCCTATAAGGGAAGACGCTTCAATGCGACGGAAAGATGGAGCAGAAGAAGCAACTCCGCGCACCATTAGCTCGGCGTCGTCCGCCGCGGTAGGCGGCTCGAGACTACCAAACACGGGCAGTGTCAGGAGGAGCGAGACGAGGAAGCTTGTCTGGATGCGCATCGTTTGGTTGGTAGAAGATGGACGTGGCGGTGGGGGGCGGATGAGTTAAAGAAGAAAGTTGCGATCTAGCGCAAACAGAAGTGAAGGATAGAAGAGCCGGTCTGGCGGCAAGAACTTGAATGCAAGGAGGAGGCCGGGGGAAAACTAGGACTAGTGCAGAAGGAAGAACCGACGACGACCCATTCCTAGACACCAGGTATATATAGCTTGCGGAATTACGAATTTCGCAACCGGTTTCGAAATTCGAGACATGTGGAGCACACTTTCCGTCAATGGTGCTGCGGAACCGGAAGCGAAATCTTCATCAATGCTCAGGGGACATAGCCATACTTGGCGCGTACCTCGACACGGCTTCCAAGACCTCGTTCACCAGTGTGGCGCAAGGATCCGAGGACCGTGTGAGGGATTTGCACCAGCCATCGCGTTCCCGATGAAAAAAAAAGCCAGCTTTTTTTTTTCTAAATCATGTCGTGCAGATACAATGGTGGATTGCTGGCCTGAGCGTCATGCCAAAAAGCGATGAAGGAAGTAATCGAGTCGCAGGCTAACGGCTGTGCACATGTGGCGATCTGCTGTGCACATGCGGCGATTCGCTGGTGTATCCGTCGCCGGTATCAATGGCAGGTCTTGGGCAGGTCCCGGTCCGAGTAGCCGGCCGGTTTCGCCCCCATTTCCCGAATTACCATCGGATCATGATGTGCGATCGTCGGATGACAGCGCGGGAGTCTGTCGGGGCGCTTCTTCGAGCGTTGCAGCCTCTTTATCGTCCACCACAAATGTTGGCTTTATCATTGGGGGTAGCAGAATAGGGTGCAGCATGGAAGAAGCAGAAGCTCACGTACTTGGGGCTTGGGCCACCCTATACGCCGGCGGTGCTGTTTGGCCAGGTCACGTTGCGCTTCCCACTCAACAACTCGCGCTTGAAATGCCAATGTCCCGACACGCGAGCCGCTCTCGCGTAATTCGGCCACATCAACCCGGCCACACGCCACCAACACGCCACTCGCTGCTCGCCAAGAGGTCGCAGATCAATGCGGAAACGAGCAGAAAAAAAGAAGAGAAAAGAGCGGGAAAAGGAGGAGAATTGAGTGATAAGATAGAGAGCGTGGGAACCCCGCACCCTTACTAAGCAGTGACTGATTGTCACGTCACGTTTCAAATCTTCGATTCCAAATTTCTACAGCGTCACTTCTGGTTGTATATTGGCAAAATAATATTATTTGAGTCCATGGAAGTTAAGAACTGATTCCCAATGCATTTTTTATCTCTTGAAGTGATCCTTGGGGTAAGACACGATGGCCACGATACTTGTCCTTGAGGTAGCCGATGTCGGCACCGCTCAAACCACCTGCATATGCAGAAATAAATCGAATTGAGCGGTTTGCAAACCTGAGAACAAGTAAGAAACATTTATAAGAAGGAAGGAAAACTCATACCGCAAGATACTCAGTTGTGGAACTTCATTGAGGCACTTGATGACGTTGGCCTCCATTTCGTCAATCCCACTTGTTCGCGCTGATTTGCGATACAGCAACTTGGCTGCTCCCCAATACATTTCTATAAAATTCAGCTCGCAGTGATACTTAGGGTAAAAATCACAGATGTGTCCACGCGACTCAACGAGTTCTTGAAGCGCTGACTTCTGTGAGACAAAGTCGGGTGCGGTGAACAAGAGATGACGGCAGCAGCAGTTGGTTGTTCCAGGTACACATTTGAAGCCTGGACACTCAGCTCGTAGCCCTCCTGCTGGCCACTGACCTCGCTCACGAATGATTTGCTCCATTCCCTTAAACCAGCCAGCCATCGTGGGGTGGTTGTCGGGGAAGTAAAGTGACTGGTAGGTCACTCCATCAGGAAGCATTCCAGGTCGCATGCGTGGCTGCTGGCCCCATGTCTCGTGCGGTCCTTTGGGCATCTTTCGGGCACTGAGTGCGTCAGCGGCGCGTTTTTGGTGACTCGGGGCATTGTCGAACATGAAGAGACCTGTCGCAAGTCCATTTGTCTTTGCCTCAAAGATGTCGATCGCATTGTCTGTTGTTGCCAGGAGATCCTCGGACCAAAAATAACCATCATGGTTTTTCCCCGCTCGGAAAAGAACACGCGCCTGCCTGCCGGAATGTGAGCTACATGCCCAGAATCAAATGAAGTTAAAGCTCACATCTCTTCGTGAACCAATCGTCCCCAATCTGGCGTCAAGAAATCAGACACCATGATCGATACCCCTTCACCCTTCGGAAGCGGCTTGTTCTTAAATGAGTCGTAAATCCACATTGCTTTCCGGCGATCATTTGCGTAGAACGTTGACTCGTTGTGAGTGATGTGGTAAAGTCGAAATGGCCGGCCGGCTTGCGAGCCTTTGAGTGGAAAGCCGCGAGGAGACAATGGGGTGCCGTTTGCATCGTACGTGACCATCCGTGGCTCGTACTCCTCCATTCACCGCTTCACAAACGCATTCCGGTATGCCACAACATCTTCACGCTCGTGCCCATCGATGTACATCCCATTCTTCCTCACTCCAAAGTGGAAATCCAGCCGCTTAAGCCACCAACGTGCTGTCCAAACAGAGATCGTCCGTTCTTGAATTGGAATGCCCATCTCTTCGAGCTCGCGTTGGACTTCATCAGATGCCACATAGTCGACAATGTCATCTGCGCGGAAATAACCTTCCTTCGCCGCAATCGTCTGCACTTGGAGTTTGACTTTTAGACAAAAGCTCTCGTTGTCAATGAGTGAAGAGCTGTACTCCCCAATGTTATGCTTTGGAAGCTCGCGTTTGGCTAGATACACATGAATCCAGTCCCGAATTTTCCGCGCAAAATGCGAGCCATGCCCTTGAGTCTTCGAGATCATCATTGATGATTGGTGCCAGGTGAGCGAGACGAGGGGATCCAGGAACAGTCTCAATGTTCCAAGCATCGCAAGAATTCGCCCTCAAAAGACAAGATCATGCTTCTTGTTCTTACTTTCCAGCTCCAACCGTTCTGCAGCACGCTTCAGAGCAGGAAAGTCCCGGTAATTGAGAATCTTCAGAGCCTGATTGTCCGAGGTTTCAGGCGATGGATCGGTGGGTATCTTGTCATGGCTGATGGCTTCTAGCATCTCTTTCAGATGCACATGCTTGACGTTGACTGGTTCCAGTGCACGAAGCTGGTCATCAGAGATGATCACAGCACTGGGAAGCGTTGTGGCTGGTTCCGAGGTTTGAGTTGACAGCGGCGCGAGAGGCGGAACAGACTGGCAGTGTGTCAGTGGTTGGAACAAGCATGAGCCGCTCTGGTATTCACTCACTGGAGGCTCCGCTGGCAGGACATCGATATGTCCAGATGGACGTTATCTGAGGGGGGGGGTATTGATGCTCATCTGAACGGGCCAAGAACAGTCCGCGGGCTGAGGGAAGATATTGCAATATTAATGCGGCACAAGTGCCCTCTAGGCTCTGCATACTCCGTAGTCGACCTCCCTGGATATAATGATAATGAGCAGTCGTCGTGTTTGGACACGTGGTGCCGAGCGTCGGGTTCGCCGCATCGCGGGGCTGCGCATCTTCAAGTTTAAAATCTGAGTTGTTTTTTGTTTTTCGCCGGCGCCTGGGGCCGGTTGCCAGGAGCGGCAGCGCGTGGCCGGGCGCCCGCCCGCGAGGCGCAGCTGCACGACATTCGACGTCAGGCTGGACCACTACTCCTCATCAGCCCTCGTCAACGCGATGATGGAAAAAAGGCAACGCACCCCGTTGCCGCTGTCCACCGCCCCGCCGTCGACCCGCCCGCACACAGTCCCGCGCGACACAGCCCGGGCCCACCCGCCGGCCAACCGGCCTATATGGCGGCAGCGGCGTGCGGTCCCACAGCGGCGTAGTACGCCAGCCCCAGCAGCAGGACCAGCGCGAGGACGCGGGCAGGGACGTGGCGGGAGGAGAGATGCATATGCATGGAGCGGCGCCGCGCCAGGGACAGCGTGGAAATCTCATCGGATGTGTCGCCATGCCAACGCCGTGGCGATCGCGGAGCAACTCGAAAAATCAAAAAGATATCCCAATCGGATGGAGTATACCGTACGTATGTCCCGCGTCCGTGGCGAACGGGCGGCGGCGGCGCTTCGCGGGCTGGCAAGTGCAGTGCCCGGGTCTCTATCCCGTGTCCTGAAACGCAAGAAAACAGCACACCAGCACTAACAAAAACTCCAACACAACACACAAAATCAGCACACAAACACAACAGAACACAAAACCAAAGAGCCTAGTATTAACACACGCGGGCCGAGTCTCGGATCACTCGGATCAGAACGGATCAAGAACGGATCACGTCGGGGTTTGAAGTGGGTGGGTAGTTTACTGATGCGCGCAAGTACGGGGGTTCCAGCTAAAATATATAGCTGTTGCAATCCAAATAAACACGTTTAACAGCTCGGAATGATAGGGTCAGGGTGATTAGGTAAGCGAAACAACGGGCGGGACCAAGATCAACAGTGGGCAGGGAGGCGGGACGGCGGGCGGGTACTCGGAACAACGGGACGCAATGACAGAGGTTCTCCAATACAAACGGCGATAGCGGACACGACGATAACGGCGACAGCGATAACGGAAACGGCGATAGCAGACAAAACCCGCGCAGAGCCGGGCACTCGAATTCTCTGCCCTAAAGGCTACAAACGCTGCAAATATATACGTCCTTGGCCACAGCCTTCCCACTGCCCTCCGGCGCTTTGACTGGCCTATCTGACCTGTGTCCACAGCACGCACAGCGCGTACTGCAATGCGGCGAGCCCCTCTGGACCCCCTCGGACACTTCGGAGGAGCACGCGGCGTATCAAGGCCCGTGCCCATCTTCCGTAGGTCCCATTTCCTTTTCATTTTCTCGTTCTAAAATTTTTGTAGGCCTCTTGAAGATTGTTCCGGTTGCCTATTGGGTCCTCACTACCATCGTGGAGGCGCTGCTCTGAACTAACTGTACGTTGCGATTATTTATTTGTCGTTGTGTATTATTTATCGCGCTCCGAATATATTCTGTTCTTTGCCTGTTTGGAACGCGGCGTGAGCGTAAACGGAATTGTGAGCGGAAGCGCCAGGACAGCCACGCCGCGTCTTTGCTCGCGCTTCTTGGCTTCTCCTTCTCCCCCCAAATAAAACCTCCAGTCCACTGGAGTGCGCTCTTCATCCTTCTTTCTTCATGGCGCCACCTCCCCCGGATTTTATCACTCTCAGCGAGCAGATTGCTGCGCTGTTCTACTCGTACGAGTCGCAGGTCGTGGACGACATCTCAACTCGCTTCCCTATGCCGTTCTACACCAGCATTCACCAGCGCGACATTTTTCTGTTGCGGAGCCTTCTTCCAGCATTGGTGACCTCATATTTGTATTATGTTAAATATTCTGACTTGTTCTAGTTGTGGGCTGGTGACAAAATGTATTGGTTGGCCACTCGCGACGCCATCGGCATTATGCCCGGGGATCTCCTCAAGCAGGGCGCCGAGTACCTCAACGTGGCGGCTCTTCGGCCCGGCGGTGCCTACGAACGCGAAGGGGAGTTCCTGCGGGCTATTGTCCAAGGGTACTCCGATTTTCGCGTGCTTCATAGCCCGCTTCCTCCCCGTCTCCACCCTCTTCGGTCAAGCTTTTCGTATGGTGTGTACATTTTCCTCTTATATTTTTCTGTTTTTCTGATATTTTCGTAGTCTTGCGGTCCCAAGCCACGCCTGCCCTCACGTATTGCAGAGGAGTATTCTGGCTCCATCGCCATCCAACCTTGCCCCAACGTATCCACTCTCAAGATCAACCCCATGGCGGTCACGATCAAGAAAAACAAAGGAACTCGCAAGGTACCTGTATTTCCTCCATATATATTTCGTGGTTGACGTGTTCCCAGAAGAAACCAGTGTACATGCCTGACCTGGCACATCCAATGCCGGTTGCTGCCGGCGGGGCTGGCTTCGTGCCGCTCATCAACTACTTCGACCAGCCGGTGTCTCAGCCACTTCCCACCATCAAGAAATTCGAGGACATTGGCGGCGCCCTGATGAGTGCCGCCGGCACGTCCAACATCATCACGGCATATAAGGGCAAGACCCCCGTCCACACCGGCGACCTGTTCTACGACATCCGTAGTGCCGAAGGCCAATACTTTCAGGCGCGCGCCCAGCAAGAATTGAAAAATAAGAGCGGAACGAAATACTTGGTCAAAACCTGCAACCTGCTGGCTGACATCTGCCAGGACTATGATGTTAAAGACATGGTGCGTGTCTTCGTCCTTGATTACTCTAAAGTCTGACTTCTGGTTTGTTTAGAAACAAAACACCCCTGCTCCAGGGATGTTCTGGCCGTTCCCGTCCAACCAGTAGGCAAAGACTCTATTGCCTTGTTTCTGGCACTGGGTGCATCTTCATCAGGGGTGTTCCTGACTAGGACTATATCACCAGGCCCAAAATGTAAATCTTTGATGATGTTCTGATATTTTCGCGAATATTCTGCAGCTGACTTAATTCGCTCTTTTCGCATTCTTTCCCGCATTTCTTCGACATGAGTCACGTGCTTGGCCAAGGCTTTTGCACGTAACCCAATCAATTCGTCAGTGGAAATAATGGCGTCAGGATATTCTGATAGCCAAGTGGCTTCTGCCAAATCCAAGGGCAAGGTTGGGTGTGCTCCAGTCACTGCAAAATAAGGTGAACAACCCATGCCTCTTCTTGCTGTGATTCTGTCTGCCCAGAGAACTTGTCTGAAAAACCAGTACCACTTCTTCAGCTTGCCCCCAGTGGCTTTGAACAAGGACTGTCTCAAATCCCAGTGTCCTCTTTCCACTATTCCATTTGCCTGTGAATTATAAGGTGCAATTCTGATGCCTTTGATGCCATTTTTGGCTTCTAGCCACTTGACAGCAGCTACAAAAGGAGCACCATTATCTGTGATCAACACAGAAGGGCAACCCCATCTGCAGATAATGTCTTCCAGTAGAAATAGCCCAATAGACTTGGTATTTTGTTCCTTGATTGGCCTTCCTTTAATATATCTGGAGAGTGCACATCTAGCATCTACCACATAATTGAAGCCATATGACTTTTCTGCCATGTACATCACATCTGCATGGACTTTCTGAAAGATTCCTGGAATGCTAGCCACAACAGGTGGTGCTTTGATCAAGTTCTGCTTTCTGACCTGGCAAAGATGACAAGTTTTGATGTACCATCTGATGTCACCCTCCATGTCTGGCCACCAAAACCTAAGGTCCAGCAAGGATTTAGTTGCAAAGCTTCCCCTGTGACCCAGAGCATCATGAGCAGCTCTCATCATGTACATCCTGTGAGGTTTGTCCACCACCAACTTGTGCATGGAGTCCTTCCCAACTCTGTACAATTTCCCATTCTTGCCAAGGAAGAATTTGGTAGCAAACCTGATAAACCTGTTGTACTTCCTATCATCCTCCATGTTATCTGGTCTTTCTAGAGGGTTCTTCAACCATTTTCCCACGGTTGATAATTTGTCATCTTGAACTTTAACACCCTTGGGACGGTGCTCTTCATCATAGGGCTCCCTTTCAGCTTCATCCAGCTTCAGGGACTCATCTGGTAGCAACATGTCTTCTGGTGTTTCATACTGCAAATATGCTGGCAGTTCAAGCCCTTCTGCAGCGTAGGCAAGTTTGACTTGGGTGTGCACTGCAATATTTTCTTGTTGAGTAAGCTCTAACTCTTCCTCCAAATCTTGAACACTATCAGCTAGACCAGTCATGACCTGCAGATAACCTCCTCTTGTGTCAATGTCTCCCTTAAAATCCTCAAAGTCCAGGGGTTGATCAGCAAGATAGTCCCAGTCATCATGCATTTCTGGTGGGATAGTAGGTTCCAGACCATCTTCATCATCTGGCCAGATTTCATCTCCTGGTTGAGGTTCTCTCCTAGACAGCCCATCTGGAGGAAAGGCTGCTC